AGGGCGGCGCCACGTCCTTGATGTCGCCGCCGGGCACGCCGCGTCGGGCGAAGCGGCGGCGCGGCCACCTCGTGGGGCTCGCGGGGCTGCCAAAGGGCGCCGAGGGCGACGACGTCGTGCTGCACTCGGTGCCCATCAAGTTGTTTCACGAGGTCGAGAGTATTGGCGGCGCGCTCGTGGCCTGGGCGGCCGCTCTGCTGGACAAGAGCCTGCTGCTGCCGCCGGATATTGTCGACGTCGAGTATGGGCTGGACAGCGTCAATACGGGGCTGGACCGGATGCGAAACGGCGAGATTAGCGGCGGCAAATTGGTGGTCAAGGTATAGACGGTTCTTGTGCGGCGAGAGGTGTTGCGGGAGGCCGGGCGGTTGTAGTCTTTGTCCGGCGCAGAAGAGAGGAATGTTTTTGTGTTTGCTACTGCGTGGGCAGTCTCTGAAGAATGAGGTGGTGCAGCACCCTGTGAGAAGTGCTCCGTCTGATTGATTCAAGGTCCTGTGTTGGCTTGGTATTGATTCTTGGGTCAGTTTTTTGTTAAAAAAAATAGATATATATATGCCGACGCACAAGGCTTCACAGTCATCCTACAACAGTCCCTCCAAGGCCGCGCTTGATCTGTCTGTGTAGAAGCCTTCGTCATGGATCCTGGTACCAGTTGACCTCTTTGCACAATGGGAATTCCAGCGACTACACCTACTGCTCCCATCTCCAGGATGATTGCTGCAGACACTGGTCCGAGCGAGGCGGATTGCCTTGCCAGTCGAGACCTCGTTTTGTTTCCACGAAGCTCAGACAGCGCCCCTCAAGACTCACACGTCGGCCAGCAAGACACCAGTCCAAATGCCTATGTCACCAGACCCCGGCAGCTGCAGGCGCAAAGGGCCGACACCCTCTCCTCATTATTGCTGCACTATTGCAATTTTGATGCTCACACAGCGTCTCACGGCATATTCCATTGGCGACTGTACGCGGGGGCGTCGGATGCAACAACCCGTGTCCGCCTCTACACGCGGTTCCATGTCTATTTCCCCCAAATTTTGCATGCCCACGGATCGACAGTTGGGGTACCAGCCGCCGGCAAACATCTAGCGCCCCGACGCCCTGGGTTCGAGGACAACAAGAACCCGTGCCATCAGCTTGCTCGGGCGAGAAGCGAGGGACATCTGCTCGAGCTGGGGCCAGCTCGCTCACGGGGTACCAAAGGATGGTTCCATTACAGTTTAAGCTCGTGTGGAACAATGCATTGTGGCCACATGATGGGTGGCGATTGAGCACCGCCGCCACGACGGGTGGGCAGCCATTCCCGACGGCCACGGCCATGTAACCTCGCGTGGTGGTCTCGAGGCCGGAAGCCAAGCGAGCCATCAATTTGGTCTCCGCACCTCGCACGAGAAGGATCAATGACGGAAATGTCCCCCTCGTAGAACGTGCCCCGGGATCCATCGGTGTCGGGTCGTCA